TGACCATAGGTGAGGGTTGCCACATAGATGGACTGGTAAATCAAAGGCTTTGCCTTCTAGCTCAGCTCTCTTTTCACCACGACAGTCTAGCGCAACACCTGCATCACTGCTTGCACCACACCAAACCGCAAACCATCTCAGACTCCATTTACCCTCACTGATTAACAAGACTCCTTGGCTTGAGGCAGTAACTCTCTACTAACCCAGAGAGGGCAATCCACCTTTTTCCAGCACAGAACCATGACCTCAGACTCAAAAATATGAAGGGCATTTCTCTATTTTGTTATAATCAAAATTCATAACAACCCCACCAATAAGGCACGCAGTCACTGAGGCTGTTTGTCAGGAGGTTTATTAATTTATGTACACGCATGTCTGTCACCGAGGCGGAGACTGTCTGAGATATACAACAGAGTAGAAAATATATAAGGTGCAAAAACAAGCACTGATGCATGAGAACTCCCACCCCCTCCATCCCAGACACAAAGCTCTATACAGCAGGTTCACATTTACTGACATCAGACATCTTGCTCAGTTAGAAGCCTCGCTGAGCCAAAAGGGAATCAAAATTAAGTATATACTTAACTAAATACTTGTAGATATAACTCCCCAGATGCTGTCTTCATGCTAACATGCTGAATACACTCTACAGCTGGCAGACTTGTGGGATATGGGTTTGAAAACAGGAAGAGAAAAGGAAATACTTACATGAGTAAGGAGCAGTTGGCGCCAATGTGCTGTATGTAGTGTGTCACTGTGGCAGTAGTGATTGCTAATGCTAATTCCATAAAAAATCCAGATAAAGCACCATGTATGTATACATAGCAGTATCAGCACAACAGCAAGCATAACAGCATAAGCAATGGAACAAAATATTAAAAAAGCACCATAAAATGTGACATTAATGAGTGTGTGTGTGTGTGTGTGTGTGTGTGTGTGTGTGTGTGTGTGAAGCAGTCTGAAAATCAAAGTCACAGTCTTTAATTCAACAGTACACACAGCAATTTAAGTTTACAGCAATTGCCTCTATTTCAGTCAGTGTAATGGTGATGGGTTTGGAATGTGCCTTGGAGGCACTGAGAGAGACAGCACCCATGCACACACATACACACACAAACTACACACAGAGCCAGATCACAGCACTACAGTAAACCAGTGGCGTGATCAGAGGAGCTGGACCAAGGCTCTTGAATGAGGGACTAACATCAGCCATAGCGGTTGAGGTTTCTGAGTTTTCCAATGCAAATCTAAGGGCAGCCACGCCTCGGCCTGTCCTTCCCAGCTTTACCAACACTAACACACACCCTGCTAGAATGTGACTACAGTCTAATAACAGCCATCATCATCATCACACTAAGGGACTATTTAGAGAGGCACAATTAACAAGATACCCCTGAAACAGCGTGGCTAAAGCTGCATTGGGTGACTGAATACTGACAGTTACAGTTGTGACAACAGGTTTCAGTCAGGGGGCGGTGAAGTGAGCCATCGGTTATGTTCATTGCTAGCTTAAATAATCCTTGTTAAACACTAATTTTGCAGCTGCCTGCCAGATCTGTGGCTATTAGCTAATTACCATTTGACTTTATCAGTCTGACATTGAGTTGGTTTTTAAGTAGGTTACTTGTTTTGGTTTGGCCCTAACTAATCTGTAGAGAGTGACATATCCATCCTACTAAAATCATATTTATTTATCTTCAGTCAGTGATGTTTGTTGTTGCTAAAGGCAGTTAAATTATGTCCACTTTAGAGTTTCTGTAAGGGCTCATTTATGCTCAATGTCAGATACATATACAGACACAGATGAAGCCTTCTGTCTGTGCTCTATGTTGCACGTTTTCTGAAAGCTTACAGATACAGACGAAACGGAGCAGTACCACCAGAGATCATGGAGGCAGTGTAGCATAGTTCAAATGAGATACGTCAGTAGGAGATGCTGAAGACATTTAAAAAATAGTAGAAATGAACAATACGTTTATATAATGACAAGAATTCTCCATCCACGTGATGTATTTTCAGGGTTCCCACACATTTTCATGGACAAAATTTTAAAACTTTTTCATGACTGTCCCACGATGCTTAATAGGGGTGAAAGAAATAATCAGTTCTTAATTCTACAATAAAGATTTGAAGCTGAAGCCCCACTATAGAGAACAGATCCCAGTGTACAAGTGAACCACTACATCACTGGTGATTGAGACAGATGACCATAAATATAAAGGGAAGCTGATATTCAACCTGCTGTGGGTCATCACAGTGAGTGCAGATGAACGGTGTTTGGCTTCCCCCCTTGTTGCCCCCAGCACCCAGACCTCCCCCACTGGACAGGCGGGTAGCTCCAGAGGAAGTCAGACACTGTTTATCTGCACACACTGCAATGACACACAGCTGGTTGAATATCAGTTTTTCAAGTTTCTCTGTTTCCCTTCACTGGTCCCTGTGAAGCAGAGTAGGTCTTTATTCACTGTTATAATCATTAAAAAGCAAAAGTAGCATGTGTATTCAGTAAACTATACCTTCAGTCGCTAATGTTAGCTAACCCTACACTTTTCAGGGTTGATTTTGGTTTTGGAACGAGGAAGAAATGTATTTGTCCTTCCAACCCCTGTGGGTGACGAGTATCATTAATACACAATGTGCTCCAGGCAAAACTTTTAGCTCAAAACCCGCAAAATCAGTCTGAAAATGAAGAAAATCCGAAACCATTGCATGGGAGTAATTAGCACAGCTATGTAGTTGTTGGACCCTTGTAGGAGCTGGCCGATGCTATGCTATGATTGATAGAGTATGCTGTATTTTAAAAGTAGCAAGCAGTCACACAGTGAGAAAAATGTATCATTTATAGAATTTTGATGAAACGTGATGCATCGATAATTGTTTTATCATCAAATCGTTGCCCTCTGAATCATAATTGAATCGAATCGTGAGGTGCCTGGAGATCTCCTAACACATTTTTTTAGTCTTGTCCCACTTGGCTGGCATTTTTCAAACATATCAGAAACTCTATTCAAACATAATTTCAGGTAGGTGGCATACATGAAGAGAAGGATGGAACATGGTGGGAAAATGAAGAAACCTACATGATGGTTAGCAAAACGTCACAAATTGACGTATTAGAGCTACATTACGTCAACAGCTACAGGAAGTGAATTTGCTGTTATGTTACATTACGTGGAAGATAATCCACGACAGATTACCGCAACAACTTCATTTGACACAACAAAAAATTATTGACTTTTCCAAATCTTTCAATGATTTCTACTAATTTTATGACTTTTCTAGATTTTCCATGACTGTAGGAACCATGTATTTACAGGCCTTACAGACCACCACTGTCTACGACGCTGCCTCCATTATAAGATACAATATTATGGCCTCCTCCACCGTCACCTCGTATGTTATTGTGTGAAACTGTTGACTCTGCCCTCTAAGTCCCATCTATAGGCTGTATCTATGTCATCATAAAGGATGCATGGAAGTGTGAGGGCAGTGATGTTTATGACGTTTGAAACTGATGTTATCTATTTTCGTATGCAAATGGAGTATAAATGAGCCCTACGTTGTAGAGCTGCTTCCATCTCATTCAGGTTTATGTCTTTTTTTTTTTTTTATTAATGTAGCTAGCTAGCCTGGTATTGGTTGATGTTTCCAACCAGGGGAAAACAGATAGCAGTGAGCACAGCACCAAATCAAAGACGTGGGCAGCAACTCAGAGGTCTGGAACCAGGCTTATTTGTGAGCAGATTTAGTATGTTCTTTGTAGTGCTGCACGATTTGATAAAAATGTGCGATTGTGATTTGAGTGGACAATATCGCGATTTGCGATTGCGATTACAATATAATAAAAAAAAAATGGTATCATTAGTCTTCTTGCTTGATTCAGTGTTTCCCCTACATTATATCAGGGGGCACTGACCTGACCTGACATAGTTATTGTTATGGACAGTGTAAATGACCATCAACAGCCGCAGCACGGCACTGTACCCCCAGCGGAGCGAGCCTGTGTTGTGTTCAGGCGTTGTTGCGCCATAGCACAACACAGCAGCATGTCAAGTGGGCTGAAACCGAGCAAAATTGCTCAATTTTTCATTTGTTATTATATAGTTTGTTATGGAGTCCATGATTTCCCCGTGACACTTACAAATGTTTGCGTAACTGTGCTGGGATGTTGTTTTATGAGGCTCTGGCGGCTTTCAGTTGTCCCTTTGTCTTTAACGTTACACGGCTCGGCTTTCTCTTGCTTGCATTCTTCCTACTTTCCTCTGTGCTGTCTCAAGTGCTGATATAGATTGGTCGTGTTGCCGCGGGACGTGGCGACTTTAACTTTTAAACTTTTACACAGCACGTCTTTCTGTTCAATGTCGCCGTACCTGAATCCAAAGTATCGCCATATAATAGACGTTGCGTTTTTTTCGCCACCAACTCAGTCTTTTCATGGTCGTGCTCATGCTCTTCTTCACTGTCTATGTTGGTCACTGCTGCACGCTGGCTGGTTACCTGACCATACGTGCTGCACACACCAGGATAGCTTGTGGGCGTAATGTCAACAAACTCCACACACTACAGGAGAGGTAGTCACGTTCACAGGCACACACGTTAACATTTATTTACAATAAATTGCAAATCGCAGCCTTTTATGCGGTTATGTAATCGCACAGCCTGACATCGCAATTGTGATTGCAATTAGATTAATCGTGCAGCACTAGTTCTTTGTAACTATGCTACAAGAGCCCCCTTACCTGATCTTGTTTTTGTGTATTTAATACTTAATATTGGAGTGCAAAAATCAGATCCTCTCTGTTTGTGGTAGTATTCATTCAACATTTTTGAGTCAAAAAATTATATTCTACATTTTGGCACCCCTGCAGGCACAGAAAATATAGACAGGAAGTAAAACAGTTACCAGGTAGGTTCGAACAAAACATATTTCATTGATTTCTAATTAATTCATTTCTGTGTGTAAAAATGTCCTTACACTGTCCCAAATATAACCAAGTAAGAAAAATGAATATCTTCTTTATTAATGGGATGGGACACTCTTGTGTGTTACATACCCTACTTTTGATTTTAATAAAACAAAAATAAAACAAAACAAAAAAACAAAAAATAAAACCCCAAAAGGTAAACAACTACACTGCTTTGCATAAATCAGCCCTCTTTAAACATGTCAACATGTCTAACAGCCATACTGATCAACCTCCACAGTTCATTATGTTTTATGATGATCTTTAGAATGATTCTGCTTTTTCAAAAGCCCCTTGAAGAGATGGTTCAGATTTTCTGAAGTGAGGCTGTGTGAGGTACGTATCCATCGTCAATGTATTACATACAGTAGATGTCATTTGGCACATCTCCAGTTTGGTGAATCAGGTTGAAGTCCTATATGGGAGCTAAGCAATCTACTGCTGATTTTATCCACCCAAAAGAAGTCCCACCTAAAAAAATCAATATCAGTTTAAGTGTGCGTTGTATTAAGAGTTTTTCCTCACTTTACCTGTCGCAGACAGTGATTTGCGACTGGAAAATTAGGTCGTTACTTTTACTCCACTGAAAAAAACAGTGATTTAACATTCCTGAACACAGAAGCTGCTGGTCTACTGCTGCCTCTAACAGTTATTTTATTTGTGTTATTGTGTGACTTTGGCATTTAAAAGATTTAGTTTGGATTCACAAAAGTCACAAACTATCTAACTGATCAAAGCAACATTCGACCAGCAGCTCCTGTGTTCAGCGAGCTAAAATCCCTGTTTTTGTCGAGGGAGACTAGTGGCTTTGACGAGAGCATAGATGGGGAACTGAAGTTGTCAACGGCTTCCCCATCAGAACAGGCAGTCTACTGGAAAGGTAAAGCGCTGAAAATTTTCTCAGTATAGTGTACACTTAATCTGATATTTATTTTCTTAGGAGGGACTTTTTTTAGGTGGTTAAAATCTGTTTTATTGCTGACCTCTCCACAGCAGTACATTGCTTATTCTCCATGTCAGATAATGGATAAGTACCTCAAATAACCCCACTTCAAATAATCCAAACTATTCCTTTAAAGAGGAGCTGCATTGTTATTCAGCTGGTGTGTGTTCTGATTACCGTGATGTACTTTGTTTGCTGATGCCGACACCCATGAATGAGAACGATAAATGGTGTAGGAGATGGGATTCTGTGGAGTGCCACAAATTCAACAAAAAAAAAACCCCTTTAAATATATCAACATAAATAAAGGGAAGCTAGTATTTCCTCTAAACATTTACAAATAAATACTTGGTTTTGACCTTTTTGAACCCAAACAGTCAAACAGGTTTGAGTGAAAAGGAAAAAAAGGTGGTTGCTTGAAAAGAAAGTACAGCGGACGACACAAGTTGCACAACTTAGTACACTAAGCATGCTTAATGGCAAAACTAGTTAAAAAGGTTGCCTGTGTATATTTTGGTAGTGACAGCAACTGGTTTTGTTCACGTGGATGCTTGTGTGCTCCTCAACCCACTCTCTGACAGTATAAACAAATAAATATATAAACAATTTCTTAAAAAGAGAAAAAAGAACTGAAGGTGAGACTGATGTGAGGGGTCAGGCGGTTTATGTGCCGGTCTTCTGCTCCCATTCCTGCAAAACAAACACAGAGAGACAACAGGTTGTCATCACCACAGCAATTTTTTGGAATAAAGGACAACAAGGATTAAAAGTAAAATAAATAATGCAAACCTAATAAAATTATATAGAAAACTGATAAAAGATAAAGATAAAAAATAAATATTTTAAATCTAGGAGTAATTAATGGACATCTGTGCCAAAAATTCTCTGAAAGCCTTCTTAAAGGAGTATTTCACTGCTGGAAAGATGGCCTTTTAATAACACTAGAATGTCTCTGCAATAGAAAGACAAAAATACTTGAAATTGGTGCTACAGAACCAGAGAAAACAGAGGTAAGGGACACTTTTGCTTAAGAGGGAGAAAACCTACAATTACCAGAATGCACTGGCGGCTTGAGTGACGGGTAATACGAAAATGCGGAAGTATAGCCTGCAGTTTGAGCAACAGCCCAAGAGACGGCAAAACTCCACCAGATGACGGGATTTTGAGAGCAAGGAGGGATATCTAGGTACTGGTTAGATGGAAGGAAGTTTACTGCAGTTTATTTACACATACTACCCACACTGTTCTGATACAAAGCCTCTTGCAAACTAGCAGAGTATCTCTTTTAAGATACTGCATTCAGGAGAATGAGATCGATGCAAGGTCATGATGACCTTGACTTTTGAACATCAAAATCTGTTTGCTTCATCCTTGAGTCCAAGTGGAGTCATCCTTGAGCCCACTTAGACTTAAGGATGAGGACTGCCAAATTTTAAGAAATTCCATCAAAGCATTCTTAAACTATCAAGTTCATGAGAATGGGACGGACAACAACCTGAAAACACGATGCCTCCAGCCACAACTATTGCTGGCGCTTTGGCATTAAAAAATTAAAATAATGATTTACAAGAATGACATTTTCAGACTGATCTAGTCTCAAGCCTGTAATTAAATCAAGAAAAGAATAAATAAAACTTGTTATCCTGATGCATTAGTGATCTTGATAAGAAGTACCATTACTAATTATTTAAAGGGGAATTTGTTGTGTAATAAATGTTCAAAGCATCAACACCAACATATTCTTATTCTGTAACTGAACTACCCCAGTTTCTGCTCTTCTTGTCACCCACCTTGTCTTGGCATTGATGACCCTCTTAATCCCAGCATCTCTGATTTTCCTCATCCTCACTCCTCATATGCTATTCCATAAGATCACTTTTGTGAACTACACTGACAGTTTTCCAGAACTCAGAGGTGGTAAAGACTCAGTGTTTTACAAATCTCAGTCATATCAAGTCCTGCAAGTTCCATCACGTCCAAGTCCTAAACTCTGTGTAAGTCATAAACAAGTAATTAGGTGCCCTTAACCAAGTATATCATGATACATTTTGAAGTTTTCTTCAGTATCACAGTAATCCAGTGATAGTTGTCTGTACACCCATGGATGCACTGCAAAAAGGAGCTGCTAATAGTTAATTCAGCTCTCTTTTAATGAAGACCATTTAACAAGATGGAAACAAATACAGGCTGAAATAAAGAGAACTCAAGTTGTAGAGTCCTTGGCAACATCTTGTGTAAATCCCTAATAGCATGATGGCAACTTCAATTCCAGAATTATGATGGTATGATAATCATATCCTATGATAATTATACCACCTATCATAGCGCAGTCAGACATACTTTGATCAATACAGTCCCTCCAGAAAAACGCAATTATGCGATCACATAATTCAACGCATAATCAGCCAAAGTCCGCATATTCATGCGGGGGCCGCATTTTTTCAAAGACGCCGCACTTTCGCAGCATAAATCGCCGATTTCCGAAATCCGAAATACAAACAACTGTTGTGTCTCTCTGAGGCTTGCTGTGCGCGTCACGTAATGAGAGAGAGCACGCACTAGGCAGAGTCGGTGTGATGTTTCTTCTCTCTCACTCCTGTGGGGAGGAGGGAAGAAACCTTCCAGTGAAATAACTCTCGATCTAAAAGAGCTGGTTATGATTTTAGGCATGAATGTGGGATTCGGCCTCAGAGTAGCTGCGCTCCCGTCATCTCTGATAACGAGACAAGATGGGGAGACTGAAAGAGCATATAGATCACTCACTCTCTAACGAAGTCAGGGCTAAGAGAAGTGCTGTCTTTAATGACAGTAGTTTGAGAGAGATTTGTGACAGAGGCTCGAAGGGAGGTTCTTCCAGAGCGCGTAACACCAGGGGTAAATCCCACTGCGGTGCCAAAGAGCGCGTGACAGGTCTCTGTCGCCCGACTCCTGTCAAAAAGCGCTTAACCAGCTGGTGCGCAAAAAACGGATCTCTCTCCATAGCCTTCATGACATAATATCTATTTTATTTATTTATTTTTACATAAGTTGTAGCATATTCTAGCTACAGAACTTGTTTGACTCAGCAATGTATTGTAAGTTTGAGCCATGTGTTTATTAAGGTCTGAAATAAAACAAGATGAGAACTTAAATATTCCCTGCACTTTCTGTGATGTAGTATGCTTGCTTATCCTAGGAAGTAATAAGAAATGACTACATTAAGGTAGTAGCCTAGTGAGAACAGGGTGTTGGGGGAATCACTTTTTTCCTCTTTTTCATCAAACCACCAAACCGCAATTTTTGCAATTTCCCGCAATTTTTACAAGTTCCCGCAATTTTTGCAAGTTCCCGCAATTTCATTGCATGAAATTGCATAAATATCCCGCATATTCCATCGCATTTTTTAAGAAAACGTGCCGCATAATCAAGGATTTTTGCCCGCAACAATCACAAAAAAACTCCGCATTTTTTTGGAAGGACTGTCAATAAATTGTTTCCCCTCCCGTGCTTGTATACTGGGACAAGGACAGTAGTCTAATAAATGGCCTAGTTGAGCTATAACTGTACATCCACTTAACTGTGCATGTAAACGCACTGACTGCCGATGTGCTGGTGTATTGTACCTGCAGCTCATATGGATGTGCCAAAGCCAGCCTGATATTAGCAAACTATTCTTCATTGCCGTATTCCCTGTCTGCATTGTGAGCTCTGACCTTGGCCTTCCTGAGGACGTGTCCCCGGACTGGTGAGACCTTCTGGCTGCCCTGCTGCCGGCAGAGCAGTGAGGCACTGTTGACTGGCAGTGGTCCGGAGCAGGACTCTGTGTCACTGGTGTCACAGCTGGAGAAGGGAGAAGATTCAAGGTTCCGTCGCAGCATCGCCGGTGACTACACACATACAGACAGGGAAAAGAATTAGACAGCTAATGGCAGATAGCTTCAAGCTAGCAACATGTGATTTCTGAATTAGTGTTGAAGTATTACAGCACCACAAATGAAACACAAGACAGTACAGGGTAGCAGGTGTTCCTAACCTGGATTCCAGAGGAGCTAGCTTTTGGTTCGATGGTGAGGCCCAGGGTGACCCCACCACTCAGGGCTTTCTTCAGACTCTCCTTCACTTCAGTTAGCTCCAGTTCCAAATTTACCCGCTCCTCCTCCCTCTGCTTGCAGTCTTGCTCCACTTTCTTCAGTTGCTCCGACAGTGAGGCGTGCGAACGTTTGCCTATTGGAGGAGGAGATGGGAACTGCTCTGTGAATGCCCCTTAAATAAACTTGGAGATGTAAGACATAGCTTCTGTAATGAGCTTTTGTTACTCCTACCAACAGCAGCTTCCACTGCAGTGCGCAGGTCTCTCCTCTCTTTCTTCAGCTGGGTCAGATGGTTCCTTATCTCCTGCTTCTTCTTCATCAGCTCCTCCTCCTTGGCCTGCAGTCTCTTGGCATCAGCCTCCACGCGGTTCTTCCCGTACTTACACTGGTCTGCATCTGCAGAACAAAGACTTGGTGTGAAGAAGCTGGATCCAACAGGCTGAAATCCTGCAAGTCGACTGTCACATGACCCACTGTGAGCTTGTTGATGTTGTCTTATGTGGTATTTTATTTCAAAAACTAAAATTACTGCCCACAGTTATATGCCTCCATGTATGAGTCAAGTTTCTCTTACAGTTTACATTCATGTCTGTGAAAACAAGATTGCTTCACACACATCCTTCCCCCAACAGCACAGAAGATCTATACAGTCAGTACAGTTTTAAGATTAGTGTCACTAATTTAGTATCTGATGAAATGTCTCCCCTGCTGTTCCTGAGATATGACATTGAATAATGACCAGAAAAGTACTTTTGCAGAATATTATGATGTCACAGTGATGTTGACCTTTGACCTTTTGATTATATTCATCACTTCATTATTTTACCCTATTAGTCATGTGTGTGTACGTGTGTGTGACGTTTTGTAATAATTAGCATAAAAATTCTTGAGTTATCGCTGAGTCCAAGTGAATGTTTGTGCAAAATTTGTAGAAATTCCCTCAAGGTGGTCTTGAGATATGGTGTTCACAAGAATGAGACAGACAAGGTCACAGTGACCATTAACTTTGACCTATGACCACCAAAATCTGATCAGTTTACTGTTGATCCCAAGGGAATGTTTGTGTCAAATTTTAAGAAATTCTCTCAAGGCGTTCTTGAAATATCGTGTTCACGAGAATGGGACGAACGTATGAACAGATGGACACCAGCGTGGAGGCATAAAAATGTTCCAGCAGACACATTTCAGTAGGATATGATGACTGATTAAAGTCATTCCAATATTTGTATTCTTTTTTACTTGAATAGCAATGAGCTGTGTCCTCTTTCTTATCTGGTATTTCTAGATGCTTTTGCTGGATCATAGACCCAAGTACAAATACTGAATCAATCAGAGGTATGGGACTTTTTCGTTCATGCTGAATAGAGGTGAAAGAAGAAACATGGCTACTACTTTATTCAGTACAACTAGAGAAATTAGCGACTGAAAGTGCTGCCCTCAGCTGTCTATGTCAGTCCTTCAGGAGTGTAAAAGTTTCATAATAAACATACATTGACAAGCATTCTATTTCATGTCACCATCTGCTGGTTGGCCATCATGATAAGAGTATGCATGTACACTGCCTGGCCAAAAAAAAAGTCACCACCAAAAAAAAAAGGTCATACACTCTAATATTTCGTTGGACCGCCTTTAGCTTTGATTACGGCACGCATTCGCTGTGGCATTGTTTCGATAAGCTTCTGCAATGTCACAAGATTTATTTCCATCCAGTGTTGCATTAATTTTTCACCAAGATCTTGCATTGATGATGGTAGAGTCTGACCGCTGCGCAAAGCCTTCTCCAGCACATCCCAAAGATTCTCAATGGGGTTAAGGTCTGGACTCTGTGGTGGCCAATCCATGTGTGAAAATGATGTCTCATGCTCCCTGAACCAGTCTTTCACAATTTGAGACCAATGAATCCTGGCATTGTCATCTTGGAATATGCCCGTGCCATCAGGGAAGAAAAAATCCATTGATGGAATAACCTGGTCATTCAGTATATTCAGGTAGTCAGCTGACCTCATTCTTTGAGCACATACTGTTGCTGAACCTAGACCTGACCAACTGCAGCAACCCCAGATCATAACACTGCCCCCACAGGCTTGTACAGTAGGCACTAGGCATGATGGGTGCATCACTTCATCTGCCTCTCTTCTTACCCTGATGCGCCCATCACTCTGGAACAGGGTAAATCTGGACTCATCAGACCACATGACCTTCTTCCATTGCTCCAGAGTCCAATCTTTATGCTCCCTAGCAAATTGAAGCCTTTTTTTCCGGTTAGCCTCACTGATTAGTGGTTTTCTTAAGGCTACACAGCTGTTCAGTCCCAATCCCTTGAGTTCCTTTCGCATTGTGCGTGTGGAAATGCTCTTACTTTCACTATTAAACATAGCCCTGAGTTCTACTGTTGTTTTTCTTCGATTTGATCTCACCAAACGTTTAAGTGATCGCCGATTATGATCATTGAGGATTTTTTTCCGGCCAAATTTCTTCCTCGAAGACGATGGGTCCCCACTATCCTTCCAGTTTTTAATAATGCGTTGGACAGTTCTTAACCCAATTTTAGTAGTTTCTGCAATCTCCTTAGATGTTTTCTCTGCTTGATGCATGCCAATGATTTGACCCTTCTCAAACAGACTAACATCTTTTCCACGACCACGGGATGTGTCTTTCGACATGGTTGTTTAGGAAATGAGAAGCAACTCATTGCACCAGTTGGGGTTAAATAACTTGTTGCCAGCTGAAAGATAATCGCCCATGCAGTAATTATCCAATAGGAGACTCGTACCTATTTGCTTAGTTAAATCCAGGTGGCGACTTTTTTTTTGGCCAGGCAGTGTATAACATGATGTTAATTCTACTACAGAGGATACTATCAAGTCACGTAAAATCTGTTAAGTTAATGTTTATGTTGATCATATCATGCCTTAGTTTAGTTTCATGTTTAGTCTTTCGTTGTCATGAGCACTTTTATGTTAAGTTAAAGTCACTCATGTCTAGTCTCGTCTTGCACTTCCAGTTTTATTTTGTACTCACCTTTTCCCTCTCGTTTCAGACCCTGACTTCCTCCCTTTGTGTGATTTTCCTGCTACTGTGATTGTCTCCCCACTCCTGTGTTCCCCCTACCTTATGTATAAATAGTCCTTGTCTCCCTTCGTCCTGTTATGTTGATCAGGAGAGTACTGTCTAGTGGCCAAGCTATCCATGCATGTTACCAGGTTTTTGTTTCAAGTCTTTGTTTTGTTTACGAGCCTTAGTACAATTGTTTGATCCTCCAAGAGAGCGTTTTTTGTTAGTAGTTTTATCCTCCTTGTGAGAGCTTTTATTTTGTATTTTTTCTCCTCCATTGAGAGTGCTTTTGTGTGTTTTTTCAAGTAAAGATTTTTGTTAAACTTCACTACCATCTCCAGAGTGTACATTTGAGTCCCAGTCTTTGGTGTCACGTTCTCAACAGAACGAACTGACATAATGGACTCAGCAGACTCTGAAACTGTGAGGAAAGCCTTACGTGCCCAGGGCACCCAACTGCATGAACATGCCATTAACCAAGGACTGAGGGGTCTCACCGATCGACAAGGGAATTTCCAATTCTCTGTTACCAACCAAGCGAACCACCTGGCAAGTCAATTAAATCTTCTCATTAACCACCTCAAAGATGATTCCTCTGCTACACCTCCTACCATGTCATCTCCACCTGCTGTTGACACTACTGCTGCTTTGGATCAAGCTAGGCCTCTATCTCCTGGACTTCACCTGGCTGCCCCAGAGAAGTTCTCTGGAGATTCTGGAGATTGTCGGCCATTTTTAGTACTGTGCAATTTGCATTTTAAACACAACCCGGCTGCCTTTGTGTCGGATCAGGCAAATATAGCCTTTATTATGTCCCATCTGACGGGCAGAACAGCGGCATGGGCCACGGCAGAATGGTCCAGAGACTCAGTTCTGTGCCAATTACTCACCAGGTTCACAGAGACTATGAGCCGAATTTTTGATCACTCCTCCCCAGCAAGGGAGGCTTCCAGAGTGCTCATGCAAATTAAGCAATGTGATCGGCAGGTAATAGACTATGCTATTGAGTTCAGGACATTCGCAGCAGACAGTGGGTGGAATACCCCTACACTAATTGACGCTTTCATGAATGGTCTCACAGACTCTATTAAAGACCAGTTAGCACCTCTAGAGCTTCCCACTGATCTAGACACCATAATCTCCATGGCCACCCGCATCGATAACCGTCTTCAAGAATGACTCAGAGAGAGAGACGACGCACTTCTGTTCATCTTTCACATCATCGTTCACACCATGCCAGGACCCTCTGGAGATCTACATCCCAAGCTCAATCGTCACCGGAAGCCAATCAGAGTGTCACCTCTCATTCCCTTTAAAAGAGGCACGATTGGAGCGCACGGCGGAGAGCTAGTTAGATGGCGGACCTACCAACTGGAAAGAGTGAGCGTTTTATAGCTGAGGAGACGATAAATGTATCTCTATATCGACTGTCCCATCACATCTGATGACAGATCAAAGGGGATTGGCACCGTTTGGCACGTTTGGCACGCGTAATGGAAACCCAACCTGATTTGATTAACACAGCCGCAATCTAATAAATTCACATCCCTCTCAGCCAACCACAAACAGCCACAGCATCAGATAAGGAGTATATATTCAGCATCTGTTATCTTAGAAAAGTCAAAAGAAAGAAACAGAGTGAGACTGCGAGAGAGAAAGAGAGATAGCGCGTGCACGAGAGAAACGCTGTCAACAAATTGTAAGTTATTCAATTTTATTTTAACCCGGGAGGTTAGAGAGCCCAGCTCCCTCTCCAGCATCCTGAACCCCCCCGCCTGAAGATGCAGGAAGGGCTGGTCCCGTGGCTGCACCTGGGCCGTCTGGTCTGGCTGCGCGCGGGCTGCGGAGCTTCCCCCGGGTGCCCCCGGCTGTGCGGCGGGCTGTGCGCCCGCTGCGCATCCTCCTCCTCCTGACAGGATGATCTTCAGTTTTACGTTCTAAAAGCTTTTTTTTTACGTATACATTTGTAGCCTACTTGTAGGGCTATAAGTTTACGTTTTTAGTTCACAGAAGCTGGTTATTGTTGTGTTTATGTCAAAATAAAGTTTATCAAATGTTTTCACATCTTTGATTTTGTGATTTACATGCCAAAATGATCACAATTCAACTGGGAAAGACAAGTTCATTTTACAGGCTATGCATCATCAGCCCGTGGAGGTCTGCTCGCAGTTCCGTATATTCGGACACTGCGAGCTTGGACCTCCCGGATTATGATGATCATTATTACTGCGATTAGATCATTCTGATTAATGACTGACCATTAAGACGTGTTTCTGATAAACATTTTAATGAGCACAATAACCTTTCACAATGTAATCATATTTTTATCTGTTATGTTTTGC